CAACAGACTGGTTCAAGATTGGGAAAGGCGTACGGCAAGGCTGCATCCTCTCACCCAACCTTTTTAACTTGTATGCAGAACACATCATGCGATGTGCGGGGATTGATGAATGCAAAGCTGGGGTGAAAATTGCTGGAAGAAACATTAACAACCTCAGATATGCAGATGACACCACTCTGATGGCCGAAAGCGAGGAGGAGCTGAGAAGCCTTCTAATCAAGGTGAAAGAAGAAAGCGCAAAAGCTGGGTTGCAGCTAAACATCAAAAAAACCAAGATTATGGCAACAAGAATGATTGACAACTGGAAAATAGAGGGAGAAAATGTGGAGGCCGTGACAGGCTTTGTATTTCTAGGTGCAAAGATGAGTGCAGACGCAGACTGTGGCCAGGAAATCAGAAGACGCTTCCTTCTTGGGAGGAGAGCAATGTCCAGTCTCGACAAAATAGTAAAGAGCAGAGACATCAGACTGGCAACAAAGATCCATTGCCTAGTCCAAGCCATGGTCTTCCCTGTAGTCACCTACGGATGTGAGAGCTGGACCTTAGGGAAGGCTGAGCGAAGGAAGAGAGATGCTTTTGAGCTGTGGTGTTGGAGGAAAGTTCTGAGAGTGCCTTGGACTGCAAGAAGCTCAAACCAGTCCATCCTCCAGGAAATAAAGCCCGGCTGCTCACTGGAGGGAAAGATTAAGTACTTTGGCCACATAATGAGAAGACAGGAAAGCTTAGAGAATGATGCTGGGGAAAGTGGAAGGCAAAAGGAAGAGGGGCCGACCAAGGGCAAGATGGATGGATGGCATCCTTGAAGTGACTGGACTGACCTTGAAGGAGACCCTGGGGGTGGTAACGGCCGACAGGGAGCTCTGGCGTGGGCTGGTCCATGAGGTCACGAAGAGTCGGAGACGACTGAACGAGTGAACAACAACAACATTATTATATCAGTAGTCTTAAAAGTCTTTGAAATGATGCTGTCAATTAATAGTAGCAGATTTATGCAATTACCAGGCATGTAGCCGGGGGGGGGGGGGGGCTTGAGGGGCTTCAGCCCCCCCCCCCCCCCCCGAAATTCTCATGGTGGTTCGCGAAAAGGCCTTACTGGTGCATTATTTAAACTGTTATGTTTATTCATATCATGATCTGATCACCATACTCAATATATCCCATATGCATGGGGGTATTGGGGTAATGATACAAAAGGTTTTCTAGGCTAGACCCTCTTTCACTCAGACTCAGCCCCCCCCCCGAAACTCAGCCCCCCCCCGAAACCCCCCCACCCCCCCCCCCCCCCCGAAACGAAATCCTGGCTACGGGCCTGGCAACTACAATATGTCTGGTCTATAGTAATTAGGAATGGTTGAAATTAGCAAGATGCCACTATTCAGATGCGTGACTCCACATTGCATCTTGTTTCACTATTTGGATCTATCGTATGATTATCTAATTCAAATATGACACAGCGGTCGTACAAAACAAGACGAGATCAAAGCAAAAGAGCAAAGGTTCTTTATACCTGAATCTTCCATTAAAGAGGGATCTACCTTTGGCGACAAGAAAGCTATGAAAAGGTTTAGGTGGTAGATGCCCAAGGCGTATGTCACAATGTACCAACCCTGGAAAGGAAAGAGAGGAGAGAGGAAAGGCAGAATGTCACATTATAAGGAATTCATGTGAATTACACAGTATTAAAAAACAACATTAGAGATTTACCGCATAGAAATTTAAGATCGTCAGGGGAGGCCCTGCTCTCGATCCCGCCTGCCTCAGACGCATCCGGCGGGGACGAGAGACAGGGCCTTCTCAGTGGTGGCCCCCCTGGCTGTGGAACTCCCTTCCCAGGGATATTAGATCAGCCCCCTCCCTCCTGACCTTTTGGGAAAGAGTGAAAACCTGGCTCTTTGAGCAAGCGTTCAGAACATCAGCGTGACCAGATAAACACAAGATTGGAATATGAACATGGAACGGCTAAGACGACATAAACGGACGAGGAATTGAACTGGAAGACATTGGCTGTTATAGATTTTTTAAATAGTTTTTCTATGATTTCTATATGGATTTTATGATGTGTTTTAATTGTTTTTAACTGATCTATGTATATATATATATGTGGCATCTAATTGTTAGGCATGTGCAGGCATGTGCAGAGACGGCCCTAGGTAATTTTCAACAGTAAGCAAACAATCACTGATATATATTTTCTGTTCGTGGTGGGAGTTCTGTGTGCCATATTTGGTTCAATTCCATCATTGGTGGAGTTCAGAATGCTGATTGTAGGTGAACTATACACCCCAATAACTACAACTCCCAAATGTCAAAGTCTATTTCCCCCCAAGAGCACCTCAAGAGCGCCCATGGGCAAAATAAACTCTACTGCAAAGGCTTACTTTGTGTAAGGGGTTGAGCCGCCCCTGGGCATGTGCAATTCATGGTTCTGAAGTACTTACAAAACTAAAGTTCTGGTGGTGAAAACTAGGGGGTGCTGGTGCTTTGCTTCTACAGTGTTGCT